CAGCTTTGACGCCTTTTCCATAGGCAATAACAGCTTTTCATGCTGAGAGGTATTGTAAACCACCTTACCGTTGGCTATGGCTTCGTTCCAAAGGTTGTCAAACAGTGTTTTGAACTTGAGCTTGCCATCTTGCCACAGCTCGTTGAGGATGTTTTGCTTTTCGTTGGGCAGAGCATAAGTATTATATGTGGTATTCTTCTTGTTGTAAAAATATGCATCCTTCTCCCGCTTCCACAATGGATCCTCGTAGCAGTCATATTTCTTCCCATCTGCTGATTTGGCCGTTTCGGTCAGTTGAAGAGCACTCTTGGCTGCATCCATGACGGTCATGAATCTTTTGCATCAATTTAGCCGCTAGTAGGATCATGGAATGACATTCTTACTTGTGGGCCATGCATCGGGCCTCTTCACTCTCTATTCCGAACCACTGGACGGCCTTGATGTGCATCCTACTATCTGAATATAGAGTCAGTAGTGACTTCTGTCGCTGTTTTGAACGATTTTTACATTTTCCTAAAAGGTTCGAGTCAACTTTTGCAGACCCTAAGAGATACTCCTGTAGAATCGAGAGTCGGTCGCCTTTTGGAGCCTTTTCGAGTGCATCGGTGACAGATTCTGCTCTTGTTTCGTCTTTCTCAAAGGATGCTGACACAGATATTGGTGCCTCTGAGTGACGCAGGTCGGCATTGGAAAACTGATCCACCATTTCTTTATTCCATATGAGGATCACAGTGTCTAAGGACACGATAAATGTGAAGCAGAATACATCTCACCCCTTTGACTTACCTCCGTCATAATCTGTTGCTGTAAGTACATGCGTGAATCATGACAAGAATACTCTTACCTCCCCCACCAAGTATATCTGCGAGAGGACGTTCTCCTAAAGTGGAAAACACTGTTTGACAACCTTTGGAACGAAGCCGTAGCCAACGGTAAGGTGGTTTACAATACCTCTCAGCATGAAAAGCTGTTATTGCCTATGGAAAAGGCGTCAAAGCTG